CAAAATTAGTAATCTTAAGGAGGGGCAACATAATCTCAAACCCACGTCATAGATCTAGGACAAAGGAACCGATTCCTATGGGCTTTGAACATTTCCCGATTTATGAATATTCCTTTTAGATTTTTCCTGGTTATTTTAAAATAATTTGGTTATCATATGACTGCAAATACCCTACAAATAAGAAATGTATTCACCCTAATTCACGAGATTATGAAGGATTTTTAGTTGAATTTTTGCACAATTATATGAGCTTACCTCACAATACTACTAAATTTCACTTAGCGCTTCCCAAAAAGTCATTATAATCAAGAGTTAGCTACAGTTTCTACCTCGTCTAGGTCTCAACAGTAATCGAGACAGAAACCAATACTATTTAGTGCAGCATTTATTCTATAAATATTGCCACTGCGATACATTGCCAAAGATATCTATGGGTCACAGGGGGGACCTCACTTTCAAGTTCTACTATAAGTCCTTCATCACCTTAAACGAAATAGGGTGGATATATCTTATATAACTTTCAAGTTAAGCCATTCTGCATTATATAAACTTCATTTCCATTGGTATTGCTGCTGAGGCTTTGTGAAATCCAATCCTATTGCAATGCATATTCATATGGGGTGATAATTAAGCTATCAATCTTTCGCCAATTTATGTGACCTAGGGTGAACACAGTTCTTATTCTAGATCATCTGATAGTACAGAAACTTAACACTACAAAGCCCCATTATTGTTCATAACATGATGCAGGAATGCGTGCCATGCTCTTTTAAATTAGTTTTACAACCTTTTACATAATTTCTTCATTTTCTTTTTGTTTGCTTTCTCTTATTAATTTTACCCTTCTGTACCTTCTGGTTTCTAACTAATCTTCTCACTCTAGCGAGGCTCATCCTGGTGGATTGGCTGGCCTCCTTCTTCCTAGCACTAATTTTATACGTAAGCCCCCAGAGCCCCTTCTTCTTCGTCTCCACGGAATTCCTACCTCTCCGCACTCTTTACATCCTCTTTCTCCAGGAAAGTCTCCAGCTTTCAGTAACTCCAATCCGGCAGAAATGGCTGCTGCCCTGGTTGCTGACCATCAGCGTCAGGAGCAACAGGTCCGCCTGCTACAAGCTAATGACGTTCCCGGAGATGGTGAGCGTGGTGTCTGGCAGCGTCTTGCAGCCTCCTCCTTAGCGTCTGAAGTATCAGGTGCTTTTTCGCTTTGGGAGGAGCCGCTCTTTGACTTCATGTTTCTGACTTCTGAAGGCACTGTTTCCTCGGTCTCAAGCAGTGGATTTGAGAATTGGAGAGTGGGTTGCCTATTTACATTTAAAATGACCGGGCATTTTTTTTATATTGTGGTCGAAGAGTTAAACGCTTAGCTTTTATACGTTGAAATAGTTGGTATATAGAAGCAAGCTATCCTTGACGTTATTGAGGATGCATATTGTTTATATGACTTGAGCTGTCACCGTCTGTTAAGTTCTTGGATGTTTTTAACCCGTCTTAATAGATTCATGATAAAATCTTATTTGTACATCAATTCAGGAAATTTTTTTCATAAACCTAGTTGCATTTCTTGTTCAATCTAATGCTGGTCTCACGCAACATCTTTATTTATAGAAACAAATGCTTATGCTTAAGCTCTAGCCTATTCCGGATAATAAGACATCCTTTTGCTGCTCCATATATAAAACAATTGAGTACAATATGACTTCATTTCACAATTTCCTTCACTTCCTCTGGATAACTTAGTCATCGTTTTTTTCAATTGCTTTTAGTGCGTTTGTCTTCTAAAATATTTAGTGGCTGGTCGCGTAAGTTCTGGAGATTACTAATTTGGAATAGCAAATCCAACCATCTGGAAGTGGCCTGTGTAAGGGATTTCTTCTGGCAATGACGCAATGAAATAAAAAAAGATAATCATCTAGAATGCATTCTAGATTAGGATCCCTGTAGTGATGAATACTATAATTATTTTGCTAGTGTTGCATCATTCAGAATCGGCTTCTTTGTCTTCAGTTTTAAGTCGTCACAAATGGCGATATATTGACTCAGATTAGACATTCGTGAGGCTTGTGTGGCTAAACTTTGTCGCTTGAAGGGGCGGTCTAAAGCACACTGAGCTATGAGCTATTTTCATTCTATTTCCTTTAAGGGGATGAAGGACTGGTAGTAGGTCTGACGCTTTCATTGAATTTCACATAGCCTTGCTTTCCCCTTAGCTGTTCTCATCCAAAAAGGACTTCAGTTTCGACCTCGCCTAGGTCTTATTAACACCTCCAGCGGGAATCAAACTATGACAGGGCAGTGTGTAATCTCAACACGTTAATTACTACATCACTTTTCTACAAGTATCCTTAAATCACGGAGAAGATGTAAAGTCCCATATCACATTCTGTGGTGAGATTGTCGGCGAAGCAAACTTATATTTGCAATAGTAATCGACGACATTACTTATATTTCGTTTTAAGTAGGCTTTCGAAGGTAGGGTGAACATAACTCATATATCATTTACTGTCATTCTCTAAAACCTACTCAAAACGAAGTAAAGTATACTGATGTTTAAATTGCACACGTATATAGGCGGCGCTAAATTTGAGCTATTGCATACCAAGCTAATGTTGATGGCTGCCCTATACAATGTCCGTAAGTTTTATTCCAGTCAACTTTTCATTTTTTTAGCATTGAATC